CAACGACTGAGTACGAATGCAATATCCTTGGCAATAAAAGTTGCGATAGAGTTTGTAATTCACTTCGCCTTTTTCGAGTTGGATGAAAGCTTTGACATTGCTTGCTTGTTGCCAGCAACTCTAACCTGATTAATAATTACAGTCAAGATGGTAAAATGGACTCAAAATGTTGTGGCTCTCAAGGGGGTTTGATTTTTGTTGAAAGGACAAAATGACTTTTATTAACATTTGGGTTGCGACCCCTGCACTAGCTTTTTTATGTAGTGTGCATGCCACAGACTGTCTGGGCGCTGCACTTCTGCACTTCCAAGTTCCGCCTTTTGAGTTCCCTCAACATTTCCGTTATCAATTAAAATTTAGAAAATCGATTTTTGACTTTTGTGAATCAATTAAGCATTGTCCACATCCACATTGCGATGCATCTTAGAACGATGTTTCCCCCCGCTCCTAGTTACCAGCACTGAGAACTTTCAGCAGGAAAGCCGGGTTTGGTCTCATTATCACATTCACATTGTCTGGACACAGGGGGCTGACCAGTAATGTGTGTAGCTCGCATATGTGCTTCACTGTAGCCACTGTGAGCAAAAGTTCCATTTTAAGTTAGTCACTTCACAGTAGTTTGCGCCAAGGGAATGGAGCACTGCATATGTAGTCCAGCACCATGGGGAGCTCCCAGGGTGGCGGGTAGGTTGAGCAAGGCGGGCATAGTCTCTGTGCCCCTTTCAAGAAGGCCACAATCAGCTTGTTGGAGCCTGGAGATGGGCCATCGCTCTGAGCCCGACGGCTAGAGAGAGCAGCAACATAGCCTTTCAAAGTTCAGGGAGAAATTTCTTTCTCCAGTAGCTTCTGTGGGAATGAAAGCGCTGTCTCCACAGAGCATGAATGTAGGTCTGTCTGGTTCTTTGAACACCTGTCCATGAACAACTGCCACTTACATAAGGCACGGGTTAAAGAAGCTCTAGCTTTTAGCTAGATCCGAGGTGGCCCTAAGGTCCACAGCTATAGCTGGAGGAACTCTGGTCATGGATGCCTTTCCTGACCCACCAGCTGGTAAAGAAAGTTCCTAAGCACAGGGAACTCCCACAGAATACCCGGTAATAAAGATAGAAGCAGAAGAAATCAGTCATCTCAGCCATCGTGGCACTACCAAGAGTACCTCATGTTTTTCTCTCTGAACTCTGTCTAGGAGAGCTGGAATGAGAGGCAGTGGGGGAAATGCATACAGCAGCTCCCTCAGCTAGTCATGGGTCAGAAAAATTTCAGACTTCTGAAATAATTTATGCCTGTTAATGTTTTTTAATTGAACTATTTATGTTTGAACATTTAAATTTCTTTTAGATGTATCACTTGAGAATTTGGATTTTTTTTTTTCATTTCCCTGTAGCATATCAAAGAATTTCACTATTGAAAAACATAAAATTTAATGCAAATTTTGACAAATGCATTTTTTGTCAGTGATTAACAATGGCATATTATTTACTCTTTTCAGAATTAAATTTAATTTACAGCAATTCAGCTAGGAGACCATATACTGTTTCAGCAAGTAATCACTTGCCTGTAAGGCAGTAACATGCTGTATACAGTTGACTTTAGCCAAATCAAGATGCATTCTGCAAACTGTTGTGCATTTGATATCTACTAGTTAATGGTTGGTTCTCTCTGGTATTTATGCAGTCTCCAGTGATTATTTTGTCCAGTTTACATTAGCTTTTACCAAACATGGTTTCCCAAGCTCACATCTGGAACACTGCTGAGGTTTGGTGTATGTAGCCATGCTGTTGTGTTCTTAACTTTTTGAACCAATCACTGAGCTTGTTGGAGCAATCTGTCATATTTAGATTTGATATAAGCAGACACATGCAGAGGAAGCATGCACTTACAAAGTGCTGTTTTTAGAGAATCATTAGCTGGTAACTAATTGATAGATATTTAAAATCTGCACAACTCTTACTGACTGTCTTCCCTAGCTGAGTAACAAAAGAATGAGTGCAGCCCCTTGTTAACCAATGACCATGATGTGTGTTAACCCATTAACATGCAGCAGTAAAACTACCTTCCTGTCACTCCTGTCCCTTTTTTCATGTCTGTTCCTCCAAAGCATTGGGCTGTCTGTTTCCATATGTATTCTAGCATTCCATTGAACAAGGCTTTGCTTAAAAGGCTACCTGATCCTCAACACTTTCTGAACTTAATAGGAAAGCAGGGCCATAAATCATCTTTATTTTCCCCCATTTCCTAATTTATTACTTTAAAGAAGACCTCAAATGTTCTGTCAAGAGCACTGCAGAAGTAACCTATATGCAGCTTAAAGTCCAATTTAGATGCTAGAGGCAAGTACTGCAAATATCTCACCTTCTAATGAAAATAATTTTTGCATTAATATCCAGTATTATCACTCACTGATTAATTCTTACTGTCATTTAACATTCTTAATTTGTTTTTTCGAACATATGTTTGAAACTTTTTACTAGTCTTATATCATCCATTCCCTTATTTTATTATTACTACTCAAATACATGCATAAGTAAAGTTGTATGTGTGTAATGCTTTCCATCCGAATGGAGGTTGGTTACAATGCAGACTGAAACCACTAGAGTGAACTAATCAACCATTTGACCAAAAAATAAACATACCAAACTGTTACAGTATACATGTGACAATATCTGATTTTGAGCAGAAGAGTAAGCATTTACCCAAATGGGATGTATTATTATCACCTGAAGTAGCTTGTCAGAATTTACCTTTTGATTTGGTTGATTACACATTTCCACACATGATTCTCATTGCAAGTTGTCATATGTGTAATATTGCTGCTATTTTGATAGTGTTCACTGACTGTGTAATTACAGGAATGAGTTGCCTGAAGAAGCCAAAGCAGAAGTGCAGAAAGCTCCAGTCCAAGATAGTCCTGATCCTGACGACCTGTTTGATAACATCTGACTGCCTTCCAGAGATCTAACACAAATAAAAACAAGAAAAAACACATTTTTAAACTCATTTTTAATCTTTATAAATAAATTGTGGACAAATAAATTGTGGTTTAAAAATATATAGCTTATTAAATGAAAAGATGACAGTGATGGTGATAAATAGCCTAACTGACATTTTAGCCCTTGTATGCGCGATGTGAAAACTAAATAAAGAGCTGCATCAGTGACTGACTGCGTTCTGTGTTTACTGAATTCAGCTGTAATTAGTGTATACATTTAAAAAAGATCCGTTTTCAGCGGTTCTTTAGAAAAGAAGATGGTTCTGCTATTGTAACAAGCTTGACATTGTAACAACAGAAGAACCCTTTTGGTGCTATTTAGAACCCTTTTCAGAAAGGTTCTATATAAAACCATCTTCAGCACATTCTCCGTCAATATGACGCACAATGCAGAGAACCCTTTGTTCATGGTTCAATATAGCACCATTTTCTTTATTAAAGGACCCTTGAGGAATCATCTTTTTAAGAGTGTATAGTAGTGTAATGTGTCAGATTGCTGAAGCTGATCACGTCCACTTATCAGGATCAGTGTTTTTGCAGAGTCATGATACGCAGGGCGGGGAAAAAATATACCCTGGCCAGTAGGGCTGGGCAATAAAACAATAACGATAATTATCGCAATATAACTTTTCCTCAATAGAGCGATAAGAAATGTTCGATAAATTTTAGATATAATACACCATTCTCAAACTTGCACGTTCTAATGACAGCCGTGGCGTTTTCTATTGCAAGGAAAGTGACACTACTCTGCTTTCGCCACGAGATGGCGCACTTTTTCGACACGATTGGGAGGCGACTAGTAAAAGTTGCCAAATATACTTTAGCAACAGCTAAACGTGGAGTTATATATTCCCCGTCTGCTCTTCACAATGACAGCGCAGTTAACAGCACTCAGTCATATTTTAGTATTAGTGCATTCCCAAGCAACGAAAGTGAAAGAAATAAGTGGGTTCTTGTTTCAGTGGGTTCAGCGCTTTTTTTTTGTCTTGTTTGATCTACAGATCATCAATTCGCCGTGTTGTGCGAGTGACGGAGCACTGCTTCAAGTTAGCCAGCTGCTAAAAACAGCTAGCCTAGAAAGATAGCGCTCTCCTGCTCTCCAATGCCACACAGTATCCCCAGTTTACTTTTGTTTAAATCAGGGCTGTAACTACCATAAATCCACTTCTTTCTTTCACTTTCGTTGCTTGGGCATGCACTAATACTAAAATATGACTGAGTGCTTTTAACTGCGCTGTCATTGTGAAGAGCAGACGTGATTTAACGCTGCTAAAGCTTGTTAACTAGGATGTACGGAAAGAGGTGAGTTCACTCTGGGATAGTATAGTTACGCCATTTATCTTGTCACTCACACTTGGTCGAGGCGAAAGCAGAGTAGTGTCGCTTTCCTTGCGATAGAAAACTCTACGGTTGTCACTAGAACGTGCAAGTGTGAGAATGGTGTATTATATCTAAAATTTATCGAACATTTCTTATCGCTCTATTGAGGAAAAATTATATCGCTATAATTATCATTATCGTATATATATATCGTGTATTACATATATATATGTATGTATGTATATATATAATGTTTGTGTGTGTGTCTATCACATGTCTAACACATCAACATGTGCAGTATAACCTTCATGGGGTCCTTAGCTCATGGGGGCCCTAGGCAGCTGCCTACCTTTACCTAGTGCAAAAAAAACGCCCCTGATGATACAGGAACATAACTATGCAGAAGGTTAAAACATACGCTGCACAAACTGGTCTATGAACAAACCCAGAAGCTGCTTGTATTGTATATGATTGTTTTTTTCATGCCTTTAGCTCGAATGTTGGTGTTCCCTCAAAGTCTGATGATTAAGAAAACAGCAACTTCACAAATCACATGAAAATTCTAAATGTGGACTGTTTTCAGTTCAATTTACCCACTCAGTTATACGCATAATAGAAGTACGAGAGAACATGTTATGTAGCAAGGTGACATCTGTTGTAGGCCACCTTGTTTCATTCAGCTTGCTCGGTAATGTATGATAGAACTGTCCGAGGGAGTGTTTAAAAGAGGAAAGCACCATTCTTCTGTGTGCTGGATCGCTATCTTGAGACCCTCCTCTGCTCAATGACGAAAGCACGGGTGTGAATTGAATTTGAACGGGCAACCGGCTGTGTTTTTTTCTGTGATTTTCTTGATTCCTGACGGTTATACCACGGTGAAGGCAATTTGCTCGGGCTCTGTTGGAGCATCAGGAAGAGTTTCCCAAGGGTTCTTAATAGGATAACCTTTCGCGAATTGGGACAGTGGGTAATAGAAAATCATACAAGGGTTTAACAGTAAGCTGCTTCTTCTTCTTTTTCTTCTTCTTAATGTTGTTGTTGCTGTAGTAGTAGTAGTGCTATAATAATAATAATAATATTAATAATAATAAAATTGTTATTGTTATTGTTATTATTAAGACAGCCACAGCTTAATCAGTGACACGCAGCAAAGAGTTATTCTGTTTACAATGAGCGAAATTTATGTAGCCTATTGGTTTCATGCACCCTGAGTTTATGCGTTGCTGATTAACTGTAACCTTTTGTGCGTGTAAATCTCTTCATGTCAACCATAGCTGTGTGACAAGTCTATCTCAAATACGAGTTTAAAATACGTTTCCTACTTTGTTACTGCGTTCGATCTTTACGTTAGCACATCTCAAACATCTTTTATTGCCGCCTGCTCATGTGCTTCTTTTTGATGTGTCAGTGTAAGATGTTAACAGGCTGCTAACGGTTTACATCCTCCATCAGTCAGTTTGGCTCCTTTTGTCAGTATACTGCGCTTCGCCTGTCTAATTTAGAAGCGTCCAGGCGTCCTGTTTTAAGGAGTCCAGCTGCCTTATTATGCTCTACTGAGTGTTAGAACTTTGCATACTGTACCTTATACTTTATCTTATACCGTAGCAAGCAGGCATCATCATGAGTTGTAGTTCGTGATTTGATGTTTGAACAGTTGACATATTCTGTAGGTCTCCTTGATAATAAAGGACGTGCGTTCTGTCAATGCTAAATATTTACCTTATTTCTTATCCGCTGGTTCCTCGCCTGTTTCTTTTCTTCTTTTAGTTCGGACATCTTGTTTTAACGAGCCAACAATTTCTCAATAAGCCAGAAGACCTCATTATTTTGATCAACTTTTACGAAAGGATGCATTGTATGTGATCATGTCCGAAATAAGTCACTTTTAACATCCGGTTTACAGTAGGCAATCTTATTAAAATGCAGGGAATAGTACAGCAAAGTTAGCTTCTGCTGTTCAGCCCAGTACAAGGCAGTGAATAGTGTTATCTCACAGAATGGAGGGTGAGGGTGCTGTTGCATCTTATTCTATGGATTAATGATTTTTACATTGTTCCTCGCAGAATGGAGATGTTGGTGGGCATAAAGCACATCTTCTGGTTTGTCTCTCTTTGCAGCGCTGCAATACACGGGGGTAAGTCGCTGTGACAATACTGTTTTTCGAAGAAACTTTACTGTACTCTAGTGCTGTAGACAAGCTTTAATTACGTAAGCGCCCTAAAAGCGCCTCCAAACTGATCTTAAAGACAGCGATGAGCAGTGAGAGAACCGAGTCTTTAACAGAAAGGCACTTCCAGACCTTTCAGCTTCCTATTGATTTTGTGCATTTTCCTTTGCTTTCCTTTAATAACTGTGGAGTCGACTTTGGAAATGCAGTATTGTATTGATTCTGTTTTTTTCCACTGCAGATAAACCACACGATAATCAGCTAAACTGAACTGATTGAACGTTTTTTATTCTCCAGACATACCAAAATTGACTTTTACACAACATATTTGCTTTGTAAAGAAACATTTGAGCTGCTGTGTTACGCTTTGTGTAAAACCTTCATCCAGTTCATTGTTTGTGCTTAGACTCACACCAGCGGATGAGAGTAGAGAAGAGTCCTCCAGTATGGGGTTTTCTGGCAGAAAAGGTGGTTCTGCCCTGCCATTTTTCCACACTATCAACATCAGTGCCTTTGCCCAATTCTGCCCTGACCACCACCATCACTTTGACTACTACATCCAAATCTGTCACTGGCACACCAGTAGACCACCTCCGCATCAAGTGGACAAAGCTGGAAGGTGACACTGAGGCCACAGTACTGGTGGCTCAGGATGGGGTCATTAAAATTGGGCCAGACTACAGAGGCAGAGTGTCTGTGCCAAGCCACCCTGAGGGTGTAGGGAATGCTTCTCTGACTGTGGTAAAACTTAGGGCTAGTGATGCTGGAGTCTACCGCTGTGAGGTCATGCATGGCATTGAAGACACCCAGGACACTGTCTTTTTAGATGTTTTTGGTGAGTGTTATCAGTATGTTTTTTATATAGTATTGTTAGAGAGCATAATTTTTCAGTGTCAGCAAAAGAGCAGAAAACATATATAACAGAAAATTACACAATATCCTCAAAAACTAAATATAATGTCAAGGTTTTCAATATTTGGTGTGTGCCTGCGTTTTGCATATATAACAACTTTTCGAGAGACTTGCTTTCAGTTTGTCAAAGCAATCTGCAGGGTTATTTTTTTCACCCCTCCAAAAGTTGAGTCCTAGAAGTTGGTTAAATTTTTTTGCTTCTCACAATCTAAGTAATACTAACACATTCAGTAATGAGGTCTGGTCTATGGGGTGACTAGTGCATTGTCATCCTGAAAATTAATAACTTATGTTTAATGGCTCTTTTTACTGGAAATGAAATAAATAAAGAGTGGTTTCTGACTTCTCCACGGAAGGGTATAGTGCTAACGATGCACTGTGACAGCTGTGCAAAGCTGTACGACAGTGAAAGCAGTGCTGTGCTTTATGATGAGGTCATTGTTGAAGAAAGCCAAAACTGTAATGGTGTCATCTTAAGCAGAAGGCAGAGGCATTATAGTGCTTTTTTGCAATTCTGTAGTCCATCACTTTTAGAAACTATTACATTTTCATTAAATTGCATACATTAAACGGCCAAAGAAATTAAGGCAATATTCACCTTTATGGAAAATTATGAAAACAAACACAATTCTGTAACAGTGCTAAAGTGCTCTGTTTTGAGTAGTGACTTGCTTAGATGAGTTTCTTAAGAAAAGCTGGACAGGAGGTTTTTTGGGCCATAGGGGACAGGCTCCTGTCCCAGCCAAATAAACTCACTGCTGACATGCCTTGGAACCATATTAAATGCCACTTACCTTTCTGAACTACACATACGGTACTCTTTTAAAATAGGCTAAACTGCTAAGATCATTATCAGTATTTAAAGCAGATGGAAAACTGCCAATACGACTGAGTAAGCTGTTCAATATTTCTTATTGTCTAAAAAGCTAAAACTAATATATGGCTCAATCTGTTTGTAGCCACAGGATGGCCAATCCACTGATGAAAGGAAGGGGTTCTAAATAACATGTGTACAATGGTAGACACTGTCCATTGATTACTGTTTGATCTAAGGCCCTGGGACCTGCAGAGTAACATTGTTGCACCCATAATGCACCATTAGTACATAGGTTTTGTTAAATGTAATTGCATAAGTAAAAAAAATAGTGCTGTGTAATATGTCATTGCCATGCTGTTCAGGTTTGATATCACACAGGCAGAGTTCCAAAATAGCTGAAATGCACAGTGATTCCTCATTTCAGTTTAACAATGAGTGGTTGTTTTTGGTCAGTATTTAGAATCAGTTATACAAAGGCAGCATTCTTCTAATCAGGCCCCATGCCTCCAGGAAAATACATCTAATTGAGCATCTGTTTGCCCCAATAAGCTTGGAAGCCTGCTATAAAACTAAAAATAATCTGTAAACCCTGACATTTTATTAATATTATGTAAGTTATATCAAAGAAAGTTTTGGAACAAAAAGGCTTAGTATATAGACTGCCATTTCAAGACAATATGTTCATAGTACGGTATCCAACTACGGCTTTCATGAATATATTAAAATAAAAAGGTTACAGAGAAGAATAAAAAAAATATGTAGGAGGCTCACATGTGTATAAGGTAAATGTGGTCACATTGCACCAATATTGAGCACTGTACCTTTATACCTGTGTGTTTGTGTTGTTTTGGTTTACAGTTTGTCTGCAGCACAGTTACACATAAAACATGTTGGCTGATTTTTCCTGTTTAAAAGACAGTGAGATTGCTAATAAGAAATACTTGCGTCTCAGCTCCAAGCACATAGGAATAGAGCAAAAATCTGGAGGGCCCTGAGGATCGATTTGAGAACCACTCAAGGCAGTGCCTTAATCCATCATTAGCTATATTAACCAAACAAAGATAAATGTGTTTACTACTCACAGCTTTGCCCATTGGCACACATATTTCTACTAAAAAAGTCAGATCTATATTACTTTAGTTTCAGTGATTTGTATCAAACTCAAGGGGCACACAGGGTTGTCACTTGAAGTAAACACTAAAAGGGAATGTGTAACGGTCATTGCTACAGTTGAATGTAAAAGGTTTGGGCATGTCTGGCCAAATTACATATGTTGTTGATTTTTGAAGTGAAACGAAGTAAAAACAGCCTCTGCAGCAAACTATTTTAATAAATAACATTTTTTTGCAAATGTTAATGCACAGTTACTTTATATTTGATTCACATGAACAGTAGAAAAAAAGCAAAGCGAAACCCCCGTATAACAACAAAGCACCTGCAGGAAGAGCCATCAGAAAGAAACTTTGCATACAATCTAATCATAAAAGTCAACATTTAAAAATGCAAAACAATGTCCAGATAAGTCAGAGGCATTTCAAAAACAATTGTTGGAGATGTTGGCCACAATCACCAAAGGTATTTTTGGAGAAAAATAGGAAAAAGGATTTGTATTTAATGAAAAGAACACTTTGCCAACTTTTAAGCATGGGGTGGACCTATTATGCTTTATGGAAGTTTATAAAGAGTTAGTTCCGGCCACGCAAGCTGATTGGTTGAGAAGCGTTCTAACCTTGCTGTTATTTTGCCATAGCAGCACGTTTTTTTCACAAACACTGTATCACTCCGCTGAGACGCCGCTGCTAAGCAACAACTTTGACAGCTGTAGGAGACGCTCAAGCCATTTGAACGTTTTTACTTCTTACTTTGTGCACAAACAGAAAATGGATATTTTAAGATTACATTTGACCTACAGCCAATTTGGTCAGACTCTGAAGATAAGACTACACTAAATTCCGAAACTGTCATTACCACTGAGCAAGCTTTTCAGTCAGCAGCTGTGACAGAAGAACACCTAAACAACCCGGAATTAGCCAGAAATGAACCAAATACCATTTGCCAAACAAAATGGGCTGTAAAATGCTTTACAGACTGGCTGGAACAAAACAACATTAATATTGATCTAGCAAAAATTGACAAAACTGAGCTAAACTTGATATTGCGGCAGTTTTATGGCTCAGTCCGTACTTCAAAAGGCAAGGCATACTGTGCAGCGAGTGAGCGGAGTTCGTTACTCTGATGTAGCAACAAGTTGCTTGTTGAGGAGCTATAATTTGGCGGAAGGAACTGCTGGAAGCAAATGTGACACAGTCAATCAAGAAATTGAAGCTGAAAAGAGGCTGTTTTTTACAACAGGACGGTGATCCTAAACATACCATAAAAACTCACCATGAACTACTTCAAGACATGCAAGCTGGAATGGCCTTTTGTTATGCCCCAGTCTAGGGTCAGGCTGTTAAAGAATGGTGTGGTGTGAACTGTATTATTTGAGAATGTGTGTGCAATTTGTAAAAATGAGACAAAATGCCCCCAAAGTCGCCTAACTTGAACATAATATAAAATCTGTGGGTAGCTCTTTAACATACTGCACATTCAATAAGGCCAAAGAATGTTGCAGTACTAGAAGTGTTCTGCAAGGGCGAGTGGGTTAAAATTCCTACAACAAGAACTAAAAGATTTATAGCTGGCTACAAAAAGCATGTGCAAGCTGTGGTATCTGCCAAGTACTGACTTAGTAGAGTGGCACATGCCAAAATTACTACGTTGTTTTTTTCTGTTTTTAACATTAACATTTGCAGAAAAAAAATGTTTTTTAAATTATTTGCTACAGATGTGATCTTTTCACTCTGAAAATCAACAAAATATAAGTTGACCAGGGTACTAAACTGTTGCATACAACTGTATATCGCTGCTGTTGAAAACTTGTATCTCCAAAATGATAAGTATCTTGTACATTCACAGGTGTTGTATTTCATTATCGAGCTAGCACCAGTCGATACAGTTTCAATTTTGAAAGAGCCAAACAAGCCTGCAAAGATACAGGGGCAACCATTGCCACAGTAGAGCAGCTGACTGCAGCCTATGAAGATGGCTTTGAGCAATGTGATGCTGGATGGCTGGCTGACCAAACAGTCAGGTATGAATTCTGTTCAGATTTATTGGTTGTTCCCATTTAGCCAATTTAATTATTAACATTTTAAAATGAAATACACTGGAACTTGTTATTCACAGATACCCCATTACAAGGCCCAGGGAAGGTTGCCATGGTGATAAGATAGGGAAACCAGGCATTAGAACATATGGACTCCGAGATCCCACAGAAACCTACGATGTGTACTGTTATGTGGACAAACTTGAAGGTAAGCTATATTCTTGAAATTGAGTAAGTAAGATAAACAATTAATCAATTATGATGCACAGTGCAAATGAAAAGGATTTATGGGCATGAAGTTTAACATCTGAAGTACCTAATAAACCTTGAACAATATAACCATTGAAAAAAGGGCTCCAGCTTTGTTTTGTGTACACACAAGAAGAACAAAGGTAATACATCTCATGTCATTCCATCTCAGTATTATTTAAAGGCAGTGGCTGACTTGCATTAGAATATGTCTCCCTTTTCATTGTTTCTGCTGCAATGTTACTGTTTGTCAAAGTAAGCTAATACAGAGACCTGGCAATTGATGGGTACTTTGCTCTTATTTACAGCTTAGTACTTTCTTAGTCCTGTATTCAACTTCTTATTGGTGCCTTTTGATTCACCTCAGATTCTGCAAAAAAGTACATACTTGGAAAAAGCAGATGGTGAAGTTCCCACAGTCTGTTTAATATCCAAGAGAGACGATGCATTTACCAGATGCTGACAGCTTTAAAGTTTCAAGTATACTGAAACAAGTAGTTCTACACATAGTTCAAGGGTGCACAACAAAACTTAGGGGTCAGGGTCCAGCAAACCTCATTAACACAAAAGCAGAATAGTGTTATATAGTTTATTTAACATTTTAAACATCTACATAAAATATATCAGAACAGGGGCATAGATATTTTTGGCCCTGTGCCTTATTTTTTATAAAAACCTTGTATGTACTTACCAGCCAGTTTATTAGAAGCTCCTATAGTTAGGGACAGTAACTCATTTGTTGCAATGCACAATTAATGTTAGCCACCCTCTAGCCCTTCTTCGGTAATTTGTTCTTGATCCCAGAACCACTTTTATTTTATTTTTAGGTGATCTGACTCTTAACATAGCAGTGACTCTGACGTGTGTAAAAAAAACAAAACAACAACAAAAAAACAGCAACATAGCTGCACCTGATATTCTTGTACCACTGCCACACACATGACCATAACACTGCCATGTAAGTGTCAAAGCTGTGTTGAGAATGGTCTGCCACCTAAATAATATGGGACGACCAGAAACGGAACAATGATGAATATGGTAGATGGTGGTTTTGCAAATGTAAATGATAAGAGCTGACTCACAGTCTGTAATTTTACTTATTGCTAACTTTTCAGAGGGCCTGTAAGGTAAGTGGGTGTTGTAAAGTGTCCAGTTAGTGCAAATTGAGGGTCAGGGGTTTCTAATAAATCAAAGCTTGTATACAGTTAAATTTTGTGTATGCATGTGTGTGTATGTGATTTTCAGGTGAAGTGTTTTATCCTCCTATCAGCACTAAGTTAACTCTTCAGGAAGCTAAAAAGGAATGTGAGAAACTCGGAGCAGTTCTGGCCTCTCCCGGACAGCTACATGCAGCTTGGAGGGAGGGCCTGGATCACTGTGACTTTGGCTGGCTGTCAGACGGCAGTGCACGCTATCCCATCTCAGTGCCCAGGATGCAGTGTGGCAGAGGCTCACTGGGGGTCCGGACTATGTATCGTTTCATCAACCAGACCGAGTATCCGTTGCCCACCCAGAAACTTGGAGCCTTCTGTTTTAAAGGTGCACTTTTATCATTGTTTGACATAACTAATTTAACATGTAGATACTGAGCGCTGTGTGGTTCATAAGTATTTGTGTTGTGACAATTTTTGTTGTTTTAAATTTGAAAAAATGACTATGAGGTTAAAGTGTGAACCAGCTTTGAGGGTATGTACATCCACACTGACATGAAGAAAACATCTTTTCAACTTATAAACAGTTTAAGAACACTTTCAAAGATAGGCACAAACTTGTCAAAGACTACCGTAAAGACATAAACATACACACACGCTGATAAGGAACAGAAAGACCAGGTAAATGCTTATTAAACATATACATAAAAAATTTGAAGAGTTCTGGGACAAAGGCTTAAGGACAGTTTAGACAAAGATGAACCTGTACCAGAGTGAAGAGTGGTGGAAAGAAAGTGCGGAGAGAAAAAAAGAATCTATTTATGATACAAAGCAGACCACCTCATTTGTGAAACATGGTGCCATGAACATGTATGTTTGCAGCGAAAATGGCTTACTTGTATTAATGATGCAACAGCCGACAACAGCAGCAGGAAAAATTCTACTGGAGCATCTTAACTGCTCAGACCTCACCAAATATGTCATAACTCAACAGCACTTCACCTTAAAACAAAACAACAGCCTCAAACAGATTTGTTTAGCACCTGTGGAGTTTTTCAGAGCCAAAGTTTTTCAAGGTTATGTTCTTGAATAATTGTCATTCCTCTGAACTGAATACTGCTAAGCATTATACTTACTGAAGACAATCCTGAATGTGCAAAGTCACCAGACCAAAACAAGAACATAAACTGTCTGCAATATAGGTCTGGCAGAGCTTCACCAGGGGACATGTGGTTCAACATACATAGACATTAAAGCTGATATTCTGTATTTGACCTTCATATTCATGTTTCATTTCAAGCCAATGTGTTAGATTACAGAGCCGAAACAAAAAAATGTATTGACCAAATGCCACTTGTGGATGGCATTGTCTTTAGGTTACTGAAGATCTTTTAAAGATTTGTGATATACAAATTTTACTACGATTGCAGAAATAGTGCAGGTGAAAGTGATTTGTTGAATTTGTTACATCGTAACAGCTGTGACTCAAGGCTCAGCTTGATGCTGGACTCTTTGTGAACTCTTTCCCTCTCTGCTGGGTGGAAACAGGATCCGATATGCTCTCTGGGGAACTGTTTTATTTCAGCACATTCTTATTCTTCCTCTGTTCAGACTCTGTCTATGGTCTAGTTCTAACTTTTCACTTAAAACAGCATTTAATGAAATCTTCCGTTCCTCAAAACAGTTATTCACCCATGAGTACCAGTGACACCTAAATTCTATCTGTCACCCCTGCTGCTGGTTTTCTACACTCACTGTCTGCCTTGCCTCAATTAATAGCTAAAAGGAAATGAGAATAGTCCAAACAAATAGAACCCATGTAATTGGACAGTGCTGTTTTTTGTTTTGGTCTACACAAATGCAGTGTCCACCCTTTTTTTCACAGCACAGTAAGTAACTGGACACCTGGCTGCTCAGTTGTTTCTTGGCCAGTTTTGCTGCTTGATTAGTATGAGCTAACACAAGGTCTAGAGCTGATCATAGATGTGGCCTTTCTGATGCAAAGCCTCCCCTACCTTCATTATAAAATGTCTAGTTTATATAGCAAATGATTTCTATTTATTGCATTTTTTTTAAAAAAGTTATTATTCAAAATATAACACTAAAATGTCAATTTAAAAGGAAATTAAGGCCTTTATCAATTTATGTTTTATGATTCCTCTTAATTTTAATAATCTATAACATACAAATGAGAGTAAAACACTTTTTTTGTCACTTTTGTTCATGTATTAAATAGTTATCTGTCTATAATGAGAATGTAATCCAAGCTATTCAGTGAAACTCTAGTGAGTAACTTTGTAAAACAATGAAAATCTATTTTTTTTTGTGGTCATTATGCCCCTTGTCTTTGATCCCAAAGGTCAGGGCTGGCTGGATGGGTGGGATCTAATCTTACCCTGGGGGGCTTCTTCCCCCAAGTTACCCTATGTTAACAACACTGCTCAGATCCACATAAATGCTTCAAAACTTCAAATATGTAAGTTAAGCAAGTCACCCAACCTGAGCTCCTCTGAACATGCATGTATTCAGTAGGTGACAAGTCTGAAGACAAAAAGCCCGAAAGACAAACAGGAACTTAAAACAACTGCATTACAGGCCTGGGAGAGCATTTACCAGGGAAAATACTCAGCATCTGGTGATGTCTATGGTTTACAAACTTGAGGCAAAGGATTTACAACCAAGCTCCAAACATGAGTAATTTGACCAATTATTTATTATCTCCAAAAATAGGGGGCATGTGTAAATGACAGCAAATTCTATATAGTTCACCCAATTTAGATTAAATAGCTGAGATTATGTGCTTTATCCTCAAAGTCACTGTTTAAAACCAGTGTCCTGGAGTACTAAGCCAAAGCAGCAAAAATTGTCACAGTCCGGTTATTCACAGATTGCACTGTATTGTACTGTATATCTGCTATCTTTTCACTAACCACTTTCAGAGGCGTAAGCTGAAGTGAGCTGTAGTTTGTTTCTGAAAACCTCTGAAAGAAACTTTCAATGTCCCTTTTAAAATGCCCATCTGCCACAGCATGCTGTAAAACAAACAAAGCCATGGTGGGTATGCTTAGACAGGGCTTAAAGCCCTAGAGCAGTATACAAACAAGAACTGAGGAGGGGGAAGCCCTCCTGCATTGTTGGTAGATCAGTTCAGTTCTGCTGGGGGAAAAAGAGCCTCATGTTTTATATCATAGATAGCTGCTGATAAATGAGGACATGTCTATGGGTCACAAACTTGAGGCAAAGGATTTACAACCAAGCTCCAAACATGAGTAATTTGACCAATTATTTATTATCTCCAAAAATAGGGGACATGTGTAAATGACTGTGAATTCTATATGGTTCACCCAATTTAGATTAAATAGCTGAGATTATGTACTTTATCCTCAAAGTTACTGTTTAAAACCAGTGTTCTGGAGTATTAAGATAAAGCAGCAAAAATTGTCACAGTCCAGTTATTCACAGATTGCACTGTATTGTACTGTATATCTGATATCTTTTCACTAACCACTTTCAGAGGCGTAAGCTGAAACAAGCTGTAGTTTGTTTCTGAAAACCTCTGAAAGGAATTTTCAATGTCCCTTTTAAAATGCCCATCTGCCACAGCAAGCTGTAAAACAAACAAAGCCATGGTGGGTATGCTTAGACAGGGCTTAAAGCCCTAGAGCAATATACAGACAAGAACTGAGGAGGGGGAAGCCCTCCTGCACTGTTGGTAGATCAGTTCAGTTTTACTGGGGGAAAAAGAGCCTCATGTTTTACATCATAGATAGCTGCTGAGAAATGAGGACATGTCCCTAATGTCTAACAGCTGGATCTCACACCAGAGAGAAAAAGAGAGAGAGAGTGAGAGTGACCCTTAATGAGAAAGAGAGAACACAACGAATTTTAGTCAATTTTTTTCCTGCACCCCTAATATATATATATATATATATATATATTAGGGGTGCAGGAAAAAAAAAATCGATTCTTAGATGCAACGCGATGCGGACGTGAACGGTTCTGAATCGATTCACAAATGTCAAAAATCGATTTTCTAAAAATTTAATTTATAACGTAATGTTGGCAGAACGCAAAAGGCGGAACTTGGAAGTGCGGAACTGCAGCGCCTGGACAGTCTGTGGCGGCACATAACAGAAAGACACACGGATGAGTGAGAAATCCGACCAGCACCCTCTGCATTAGATCAGGAGTCACAACCCAAATGTTAAGAAGAGCCATTTTGTCCTTTCAACAAAAATCAGACCACCTTGGCAGCCACAACATTTATGTCTCAGTATGTCTCAGTACGTGCAAATGTCCTAGTATAAGTTAGGTTAAAAAATATAAACGAAAACGCGGACTTACTCTGTTCTGCTTTAAGCTTTAGCTATAGCCACTTTCCTCCCATCTCCGCCAGAAAACTTTTCTTCAGAAGTAGATCAGTTTCTCGTAAAATGTCTTTCAACGTTCAACTGTTTTCCGAGGCTGAAGTCGCTTCTCATTCTCCAGCTTCTTGTTCGAATTTTCCCGTTCCACCTTAAATTCTGCCTGAGGTGCCGAATGTAAATGCGGCACCATTTAAGTTGGAACGGGACAATTCGAAAGAGAAGCTGATGTCATCCTCACAACTTTTGTGTTTGACAGTCTCTCGTTGCAGAGTTAACTTACCAGGAATCAACTGCGCTGCTTATAAATGCGAATAACGCATCGTTGCTAGGTGACCTGCAGTCTGCCAGTTCTCAGTCGTTGCGAAACAGGGCTTTCGCGCTATGCTGCACACGACCCGTCTCAAAGATATTTTACTGACACAGCGGACCCCCCTTCTCGTCTCTACAACGAACGAGACCAAAACCGAAGTTATAAATCACTGAATTAAACGGGTAGGATGGCTGTAACATGCTGCGTGGACATCTATTGCCACTGGATGTTATGTCACCCTAACAGCGCATTTTATCGCAGATGAGTGGCAGCAGCATCTCATGTGCTCCAAACAAGAGCAGTGAATGAGAGCCTTCCAGTTCACTTACCGCATCACTTCCATTTGATTTATTAATAAAAGATATTGGAAGTATTCATTATAGATCATTACAAATACTTTGCTTTAAAAGTCCTGACACAGTGAGAAAATATAAATGCTATATAGAAAAAAAAGATGCATCAAGATGCATCGATAATTGTTTTATAATCGCATCGCAGCCCTCTGAATCGTAATCGAATCGTGAGGTGCCTAGAGATTCCCACCCCTACTGAATACTCAAAAATACTGATCGGTCCATCTCTAACTTAAAATATGTATGCAACAACATGTTGAAAGCATGTTGAAAGCAGACATGACTGCAGTCTTTCAGGTATATGGAAGATACAAATAGCAAATACAATAATAATAATAATAATAATAATAATAATAAT